TACCTCCAAAAGAAATGACTGGTCACTTAATAATGTAAAAGCAGGGTGTGGCTTAATGTGTTTTTGACTCTTTACTCTAAACATCACTAGCTATCTTGGTTTTCCAATACAATCAATGTCTTAGATTTGACTCAAAACGTCTCATGACTGCAAATTCATATTAATGCACATCACAAGAAAATGATGTAACACTTTTGATGTTCACAGAATATCTTTCATTTATCAACCTTCATAAAAATTCCAGTGATCTTATACACACGCTTAATCGTTCTTCTTATGAATTCCCCACAGACCAGTTTGGGGGGACTTCCTCTCACACGTTAAGTGGAATTTTGCTGTGTCTGTAATGGGTTTATCTGTGTAAAATCAGAGCTCCTTTGTACAGGCCTTTGAGGTGATATCCTGAGACCACTTGAAATTGTGTGTGGGGGATGCTTGTAACATGTTTCTTTTGATGTGGGTGCCTCTCTTTGTCACTTATATATCCTTGTGCATTATCTATATGCTCTTTATAGTATAGGTGTGAACATGCAGCCCTGGAAGAGCACAGGGCTGTACAATTCAAGATGTGTTCCACTTTAAAAAGCTGATTAATTGTTATCAAGACCCTTTGTTTTCACACGAGATGAAACAGGTTTGTGCTGAAACAAGGCAGTGGAAACGGGAAATTCCACAAGTGGAGCTCACTCCTGCTGTAGAGTGCATTAACTTGTGTCTTTAAGGGTGAACCCCCTCACCTGCTGAAAAGTTTGTTTTGATACAGCTACAAATATTCAAACTGTTCTAAGTTATAAATGAACTAGTAAAACCCAAGTGATTATTAAAAGCATCAGATGGTTGAGATTAATGCTTAGAAGTCATTTCACTTTTATTTTGCTATATAGTTCAAAGATAATTACATAGTTAAGTATTATTACATTGTAATCATGCATTGATTACGTAGTTATTACATATTAGTTGTATTTCTATTCAACTACTTTATTTTCTGACAGGTTCAAAATAGTATGTCTTTCTTTTTTTGGACAGGACATTACAGCCTGTGATTACAAGCAAATTCACAGCAAAAACAATGCAAAATGAGAGTGTATGCACAATAATTACCTGATAAAATTTAAGTAATAATGAAATATCTACTCTTCTATCTAAAAGCACAACTGTTGTATTGGTTAAAACTTTCAAATATGTATTTTCAACATAATTTATATGCTTGTGTTCCTGATTTATGATTGAAAAATCATTCAAATCATATTACATTGAACTAAAGACACTTATGTTGAATTTAATAGATATTTAACTGACTGCCAGTTACAGACAAGGTAAGCAACTACAGAGCACAATCAAATTAGTGTTGCCAAAAGTTCCAATTAAAACCATGTTATAAATCAATTTATAACATGTAACATCATGTTCAAATCCTGCTGCATTACATCGTGTCAGGTTTGCTGGACATCAATCACCCTTTCCCCCAAAAAAACATGTGTTCATATCTATGTGTCTGGGTTGTTAAAAGCAATCCCTGTGAGATAAAATGCCGTGACAGCCTGTGATTACAAGCACACCACATTTGCTGCCTTTCATTGGATCATCAGCAATGACAAAACGTATGCTATTACTCCATACGCTTGTGTCAGACGTTGCTATGATATATCACAGTCATGCTGAGACATGCACATTCTCTCTTATTTCAGACAAAGACTTAAAGCTGCAGTTACTAAGTGTTATTCAGGCTGAGAAACTCCTCATTTCTCAAGAGAGGTAACACAACAGATGTTTTGACCATCTTCATACTGGAGATTCTTTTTGATTCCCATTTTATTTCAGGTTATAGGTACAGTACTGAGGAAGAATCAGTCAAAGTATATTTTATGTATATTGTAAAAAAAAATATGCACCGTATCCTTAATTTTGTATTATATGGTTGAGCTTCTTAAAGTACTCTGAATAAATTCTTTCACATTACCAGAATTTCAAAAACACAACACTGCAAGCCAAAGTGAAACTGAAGATTACAAAACAGCGTTTACAAATTATTTACTCTGACTTATTCACCATGTAACACGCAACTCCCTGACATTGAGCCATATCAAGTGCCTTAACACTTTCTGACCAACTAAATAGTGCAAACAAAGTTGTGTTTTTGCCATTCAGTACATCATAATTAGTCTGAAAAGAGAAATGATCTTACCTGAACTCACCTGAACTCAAAGTAAATGTAAAGTAGAATCTTTCACTGAGGCCTCTACATGTAAACCTTACAAGTGAATTCCACTGAATCTTTACAATCTCTGTATATCGCAATAATTGGGATGGTTGTTTGGTGTGAAATGTTTTAGTGTAGAAAAGAGGTTCAGATTTCTTTACAGTGGTGCTGATAGGAACCAGGGGTCACAATGTCTATAACAAAAATATAGCCATTTTACTTAAAATCTAAAATGACCAGTGAACCTACATGCCTTCTGAGTTTTATTAGTAATGTTGAGGATAGTAAAATAGTGGTCAGTTCAAAAAAATATGTTGGCTTTGGGGATTCTGCCTCTCAATACCATCTCTCCACCATGGCAGATTAAAAAGCCCAAAAAAAACAAAAAAACATACATTTTAGGCTAAAACCTTCTGTCAAAACCATCACAAAACAATGTGTCAGTCATCAAGCAACATATTTGTAATCATTTCATTTGATAACTTTCTTTGAGAGAGCCATACAGTGGCCATACATTTTTCAGACGTCTGGTTCCTATCACAACCACTGTGAGCAACTCTGACTCAGAGAGGTTCTCTAGAATGGCATGTTTCATTTGTTCACATCTTAATCATTTAATCATACAGAAATTAGAAATTGTGCAAACTACTAAATTGATAAAGGAGTCTTGATGAAGCAAGCAATAGTTTCAGAGACAATTCACTTCTTTTCTGGGACACTAAGGAATTTGGACCTTCATCGTAGATGTAAACCTCTGAGCCACTGATGAGTGCCAATTCATATCATATCTTCCAGAACACTTTAAATATTATTACTATAGACTCTTCTGGCATGATTCTTCTCAGAGCTCAGAGGAAAAGCATGTTTAACTGACACTAAACTTACTCAACATTTAGGACTGTGCATACATATTTTGTAGTAACAATAATATTGGTGTCTAATTCACATTTGCACTGAATCTAGACTGGGTTTGAACTTAAAGTGATGGTCCAGCCAGAAACTAAATGTACATATTCTCCCCTTACTGTAAATGTAGTTGACCAGACAAGACATGTCTGGTGTCTGAAGTCTACTTCTTTGGTTTTGCACTGGTGCTGAGGCCAATGTAGATAACAAGTAATGGAAGCTTGTACCCCACCGATTAGCATTGCACAAACTGCATGCCTTAAACACCACACAGTTGCCTGAAAAGGGCCACACTTGTTAAGTAATCTCAGACAGACTTGCTTTTGTGGTTTTTGACACTGCATGACACACTGTTGTCTAAAAAAAGTATCATAGCTAAAAACAGCAGTAAAGGTTTATCCTTCTTGGTTTTTAGTGGAATTTATTTTCATGACAATACATTCAGACATGCGTCAGCCCCCTGATTGAAGGGTTCTTCTTTATTCCACTGTCTCCATCACGATCTCGTTCATCAGTGACGAACCTTTCAGGAGCCAACACCTTGGCGAACACTCAGTTTGTTTTAGATAAGTAGTTGCGTAGAGCTTCAGCATCTACGCATTAGTCTGCTTCTCAAACACCTGTCAGCCGAACATGAGGGACTGACATATGATCTGCTTGCAAAGCACTTCAGAAATGTCATTCGTGCAGAACACATTGGTTGACATTTATTCAGGTCAGCAGAAAAACACATTTTAGATCTCACCTCTATTTCCTGCCTATTAGACATACCAGTGGAATAGCTACTACAGGAGCAGGCTGGGCAAACCCAGGGGCCATGATGACTGGGCCCCTTAAAATTGTTATTGGGCCTCTTAAATAGATACTGACACAGTTGTACACTCATGACATGATTCATAGAAGGATCCAGTTTCTTAACAACATACCCCAGCAGTTAGGTTCCTACACTACACAGACAGCACTGACGTCTATTTATCTCTTATGTATAATGCATTTCCTCCATGGTAACCATTTTCAAACGAATCCTGCGCAAGCTGCAACATGATATGGTCATTATTTATAATTCTAAAATCTTAAATATGCAGTCTCATATAAACATTTAGGCTAACGGTAGATGCTAGTGGGTGAAGTGGCATAGCTTGAGAGCATTTACTTATTTGAGAAACAAGCAAATTCCATTGGCATTTTTTAACTGAATATAATTTTCATATCAGGGCCATGAAAGATCCTTGTTATGCCACTGTTACATGCAATATATTGATTCTCTTTTGGAAAACAACCTTGAATCTTTAGAAAAGCAATGTCAAAATAACAATGAAAAAAATGTTCTTCACTTTCAATGTAAGTTATTTTAGATTTTCTGTTGGTCCATTGTCATGAAAATGTTCAAAATGGTTTAGAAAACTACTAATAAAATAGAGATATGGAGAGAATTTTGATCTGACAGTTAAATATACATACAAAATAAGGCACTAAAATGTTACCCCTCCAGTATATCTCCAGTACCTGTACATGGTTAGAAATAAAGGTTCTGTGCAGGTACATTTTTCATTCAAGGTACAAACAGTATAAATGCACCCTCAAAGGTACAACAGTGGTTTTAAGGTCCAATTGTGAATGTTAAATAGGTTTTTCTTAGTGACAAAGTACATATTTGTACCATTTCATAACCTTACGTTATGACCCTAGTCACAAGAGAGGTACTGGCCCAGTGACAGTTTGATATCTTTTTTTTTTTTTCTGAGAGTATAGTTAGAAAACATTATAGTACATCTCTGATTTAATTATTTTATTTTATTTTAGTTCATTTTTACTTACATGCAGACTATAAACCTTTTTGATATATTTTTCTGTTTTAAACGTTAGACTATGTAAATGTACCAACATGGGAAAGTGAATGGGGTGTACTTAGACCACCATGTTGTACCTTTGAAGGTACACGGACCTTAGATGTAGCTTAGCAGACCTAAGGTTTATTCCTGACAGTGTATGTAATAAATAAACAGATAGACAGTATTACACATATATCCTGGTGGCAGGTGTTTGAGAACCAAATGACCTAAGTCCTATGCTGCTTCTTATCTAAAACAAACTTTGTATATTTACCTCAGCCTTGGGAAGGCTTCTGTAAAAGGCTAAAAGTCATTCTTCTATATAAATATAAAATTAACAAAGACTAACATGTACAGATGCACTTATACAAACTCATATATACGAATGAATGTGTTCGTGGTTACATAAATCTTTCCAAAACTCCAAACTCATCTCGAACACAAAACATCTGCTGCACTGATAAACAAAGAATGTCTGGTAAACGCACGCCACCTGGTTGCCTGACGTGAAATTCTTTAGCGAAGGTGTGCACACGCGCTCAGGTAAAACCCACATACGTACACACACGAGCGTACAGGTAAGGCGCACAGGTGGTCCGCCCAGTGGACGAAAATGGCAACAGAAGCGAGAGAAACAAACAAATTTTGCATGCAATGAGTCTGATCCTGGCTATAAAGGTTTTTTTTTTGTTTGTTTGAACTCTTGACTGTCTTGTCTCTGGCTGCTGAAGGTCGGTATTGAAGGTTGAGGTTGAGGTTGAGGCGCCGCCCCCGTAGGCAGGTCTGGAGGTGTGTGCTACACTATATGAGCGCGCGGCCGTGCGTTACAGCCGCAGATCAGACGAGAGTGGAGACGGTGCCACTGTTTCTCACGCACCATCTGTGTTTACAGCGCTTTGAGAGAGAAAAAAAGGAGTCTCGGATGCGCTTCTGTTGGTGGACTTTGGAAAAACTGGACAAACTCCTTGGGGACCTTTGCGCTGCTTCGTTCGGCGACTTAGCGACGTTTTGCAGCGGCCGGTAAGCGGCGCACCATAAGAGATGAAGCTCCAGCTGCTGGGCGGCGCGCGTCCCTGTGCGCCTTCACCGCTTTCCGCCGAGGACGAGCTAGGCTCGGATGGAGACTGCGTTGCGCACAGCCCTGCGCCACCGACATCCGTTATCAGCCCCGCAGGGGTTACGGGAGCCATGGGTTCCTCCAGCGGCGGCGGCACGGGTGCGCGCACGGACTCCAAAGGCAAACCGTACACGCGCAGACCCAAACCGCCGTACTCGTACATCGCCTTGATCGCGATGGCCATCCGGGACTCGAGCTCCGGCCGCCTCACGCTGGCCGAGATCAATGACTACCTCATGCGGAAGTTTCCCTTCTTCCGCGGCAGCTACACGGGTTGGCGCAACTCTGTGCGCCACAACCTGTCGCTCAATGACTGCTTCCTCAAAGTGCTGCGGGACCCCTCGCGCCCGTGGGGCAAGGACAACTACTGGATGCTCAACCCCCACAGCGAGTACACGTTCGCGGACGGCGTGTTCCGGCGCAGGAGGAAGCGCATCGGCAAGAAGAAGCAGGACGAGGAGGATGAGGACGAGCAGGAGGTCTCGAGGCGAGGAGGAAGAGCAGGAGGTGCAGAATCCCTCGTGCAAATGGCTCCAAACAGCTCGGGCTCCAAGTTCTCCAGCTCCTTCGCCATCGACAGCATCCTCAGCACGCCTTTTAGAAGCGAAGAGAAGCGGCAGCAGCAGCAGCAGCAACAGCAGCTGCGAAGGGACTTTTACTACTTCTCTTCCTCGCCCTCCTCCCTTCTTCTCCTTCCTCCTCCTCATCTTCCTCCTCCTCCTCTTCCTCTCGGCTCGGTCGCGACCACCGGAGGGGGCTACCACCACCCGTTTCAAATAGACTACCTGCTGGCGTGACGGGTGGAGGAGGAGGAAGCCCCCCTGTTTGTTTTTAATGGGGGAGGCTGGACATGATGGCACTTTATAACACGCACTGGACGTTTGCAGCAAACATTTCGTCGTTTCAACATCCCGTTGCCTTGGAAACTTTGGGTTAAGGGTTTGGGGGGTTGGGGGCGGCCTTGGGGGGTTATAAGGGATGGACTGTATGATGATGGAGGGATGGAGTGATGGAATGTACGCACAAAGAGTAAATACTTATTTGCTAATGTATTTATGACGGCCTTTCTTTTCTACATAACTCTATGTCAATATAGAGTTTGTATGTTTTGTTGCTGAAAACGGACTGTTTGCCTTTAGCTGTTGTTTATCGCCTTGTCTTTGATACGAAACAATACGACTGACAGACACCACTGGTCAGCTACACGGTACAGGTGACAGGTGAGGAGTGGCCATCTCACCTGCTCGTGATGGAACTGGACAGCACTGTAAATTTCTACTGAAAGAATGCATGCATTTTTTTTATAGGCTACTGAATAATAAAATTTATTTCAACTGCACTGAGCACTTCGTGTTTGATTTCTTCATGAGGGGTGACATTGTGAAATGCTGACGTGAGTCGACAGCCATTAAAGGAAAAGGCGTGCAGGTCATAAAGATGATTCAGGTTATTATACAGTAAAAAATAAACAGTGATATGAAACACAAGACCACGTTTACCACCATCATAAAACTCAAAAAGGCCATGAACTAACTGTCTGGACGTTAAATAGGTCACGTTCTGGAAGCAATATAAAATAAACAAAACAAAGAGTAGTGTTTTGAATATGATTTTATTATTATTATTATTAAATTCCTACCACTGAAACATTAAAAAAAACGAACAGAAAATTCTTGCAAGTTTGTTAAATTTATCTTAATTTTATAGATGCACCTGACAGAAAAACTACACTCTGACAAAATAAGGTCAGGTCAATTTAACTTTACAGTTCATTATGTTTAGTTATCAATTTGAAGACATGAAAGACATGATTTTAAGTTGCTCTGATTTAAATTTCTTTTTTTAACAGTGTTGACCAATGTGGACTGGTGTTTGAAAAACAGGCGGGGCTGGTTGGACTGTCCAAGATTCTAAATATTAGTTAGAGTTAACGAGTGGGAATTTTCAGTTTTACAGGATGGAAAATTGTCAACTTTTACTTTTTATCTTTTCAAATAAAATGTAGGGCTAACCAAAGTATCCACATCTTGCTTTTTAATTCATGACCTAAAAGACAAATCCATAGCGCAGTTCTTCAAAATTAAAGCTTAATTAGTCACTTTAAAAGTCTTTCATTTTCGGGTGTCACCAGTTCAGATGTGTCACTTCTCTATCGTATCCGTGTTGACGCACAGGTGAAGCCCAGTCATACAGCTGCTAATAAACCTGATTCGCTCCTGTTTTCTCCGTCAAATTCTGTTTCATGTTTGCAGATTGGTTTATGACCTTCTTTATGTCCGCTGCATTGGGAGGCTCTGAACTCACCTGTGCATCGAACAGAAGAGTATTATATATCCAAAACATGGCAAACGAGCCTTTGTAAATAAATAAATAAATAAATAAATAAATAAATAAGTTTTAACCTGAAGGTTTGTATCAGGCTCAATACATTATAAAATAAACAAAGAAAAAAGTTTTAAATTCACATTGGTTTAACGCAGTTGTGACGATGAAAGAAAGAAAGAAAGAAAGAAAGAAAAGAAAGAAAGAAAAAAAGAAAGAAAGAAAGAAAGAGAGAAAGAAACCAGTATAAACAAACTGCCATAGCCATGCTTGTTGTTGTTCGAAGCAATTACATTAAATAAGAGTAAAAATATGAAACAACAAAGGTTTTTTTTAAAAATTAAACAATAAAGGGGAACATCTTAATATTTTAGTATGCAGTAACAACAAAAACCCTTTCGAAAATGCATTTATCAATTCATCGTTTGCCACAAAAAAGTGCAACTGGACAAAACAAATTATTAATTCAGAAATTCAATAATAATAATATTCACCTTGCTGTTAATGAGTATCATCACACACGTCTGCAGAGCTTTGCCCATAAACTCTTATAGTAGATGGTCTCAGTTCTCAGAGCTGTATAGAGTAGCTTAAATGAGGGGTGTCAAACTCATGTTGGGTAACAATAAAAACAGTTTAGTAGGCCAACAATACAACAGCTTTCACAAATGTGTTTGTCTTGACGTCATTTATCTGAAAGGTACATTCTGAATAAACAGGATTTGCACACGTCAAAATATGCTGCACACACCAGCGCATAAATATGTATCTTCAAACGGAATGTTAATGATGAAATCGCAGATCTGAGCACTGCACAGTCTTCACTGATCTGACTAGTTTATTAAGGTGTCAGCAAAGTCAGCAGCTGTGAACAGCTAGCTTAGTTAACGAAGTGACCTTAAAGGGGAAACTTTTTTCATGCCTGTTTAATTAAATACTAAAGTCATTCAGAATGGTTTGGTGTGAAATGCTCCGTTCTAGAGACACCTACATAGTCAGAGTGGTGCTGGTGATAGGAACCAGACGTGCCCCTCTAAAGCGTATTCACAAGGTTAGTAGCATTAATATGCTGCCTGATGTCTGAGACATTGTTTTATGACAGTTTTAAGAAGGTGTTGACCTAAAATGTATTGATTTTTCAAATACATTCATGTTAGAAAGGTACATGCAGGGTGTCGTAAGGCAAAATAGTCCCCAATGACAACTTCTTCATCCCCTATTTTACCATCATCACAGATGTTGGTGGTTTTGGATAGAAAATAAAATGGCTCTATTTGTGTTGTAGTCATTGTGACCCCTGGTTCCTATCAGCACCACTGTAAAGAAATCTGAGTCTGTAAGTTCCTTTACAATGAATCATTTCACATTGAACCACCCTGAATGACTTTGTTTACATCTCAATGAATTCATTATGTAACAGTGTATAGAAATTGGTCGAATCCTCTCTTTAACATTGATCAAGGTTATATCGTTTGACATTAAATTGAAATGAATGTTATGCTGAAATGAAATTAGCTTAACTTAGCGATTTAATAGTTTCGTCATTGAGCTGTGAGTTTGCACTTCTACACAGTTTAATCCGAATTTTCTGCTTTAGGAGTAAAACCAGCTCCACCTTCCAGATAGTCAGGGCAGAGGGCGTCAGGCATTAAACTTTCTTCACTAACACCTTTCCACCATGTTTGTTGGATTTTGCCATAAGTTTTTTTTATTTATTTATTTATTTTTTCATTCATTTATCAGAATAAGTAGCGCGTGGATGGGCTTGCAAAGCAGTAACGGGTTGAGCGGCGCGTCAATCATCATTCTGCAAGCGATCAATTACTATAAGATGATTTTAATGTAGAACGCGGAGTGTGAATTTTTATACGATAAATAAATAAAAACAAATAAATAAATAAATAAATAAATAAATAAATAAATAAACAAAATAAATAATTCAGTTTAGAACTGAAGTTGAACTTCTTAGTACATCAAGCATCTTCTAGAACTGGAGATTGTTAGAGATATTATGATCTTTATGTTCTATAATAAAATACCACTTTAACTAACCAACCAACCAACCAACTAAACAAACAAATAGTGAATTCTATTTAGAACTGAAGCCAAACGTCTTAGTACATCAAGCATCTACTAGAACTGGAGATTGTTGGAGATATTATAATCTTTATGTTCTAAAATAAAATACATTTGACCAAGCCATCAACCACCAACCAAGTCAATAAATAAATAAATAAATAAATAAATAAATAAATGCAAAACCTAAAAAAACCTATAAATGCAAAACCAAAACAAAAGGTGTGAAAGCAGTCCATAGTCTGAACCAACGCAACCACACCAATAAATAAATAAATAAATAATTCTGAATGTATAAATAAAAATAAAAATAAACATGGCCAAATGAATGGCTAAAATGTAAAAAAGGAACCAAATAAAAAACAGTAATTTCCTCACAAATATACAAATACGTATACTAATATGAAATTTGCCAAAAATAGTACAAATCCGTCCAAACTTTTCATGAAATTGAGAAAACTTGACCATTACAGCTTGTATTCTAGGCCATTAGGTAAAGAAAAACCTTGTTTTTCACACTTTCTCCGCAAACTTGATTTTTAACGAAATATCGAATCAAAGAAGGCCTTTGACATGTCTCAATTTGACGTGATGCTTCATAATGTCTCAGTCAGTGCTGAAATGGAACTGAGTATGAGTGTTATTTGCAGCTGAAGACTCATAAACGCCACCTCCCACCCCCCACCCCCACCTCTGCTGACCGTCTGTGGCAGAAAGCGCTGTACATATGATTATAGTGAATGAAGCCTGGGTTGCATAATCGACGCACAGGTGAGCGCTCAGGATGAAAGAGACAATGCTGCAGCCTACAGGTAACACTGCAGACATGCCTTTCTACAGCAATGTAAATACACGATGAACTTCCAGCCTATATTTATTATTTATCAAATAATGATAGAGGAAAAAAATCCAGAACCCTCTTCTCATCCTGAAGATAAGGCCCACGATTCAATGCGAGTAATATAACCCTTTATATGGCCTAATACCTGCTTTATTTTTTTATTTTTCATGCATATTTTCATATTTTATTTGACACTGGTTAACATGCATTTATAGATGCAACATGTGTATCTCATGTTCTTGTTCAGTTATAACCAACATGTTTTTATTTTAATAGTAAAAGCCATCTAACATATATTTGAGATTAAAAATCTATATGTGTGAACATTTAATGACAAATTGAACACGAGGGAGAAATGGTCCACATTTTGGATTTCGTTAATTTTGTTATTAGTATCTTGAGCCCACCTTAGTTAGGAACGTTTATTAATTATTTCAGAAATACAAATCAGAAGTTATATTCTTCATTCATAACGGGCTGTTGCAGTGTAAGACATTTGCAGGTGTTTTGCACTTTAAATGCTATAACTAATCCTAAAATGTCATTATTAAAGTTATTAGACTATCTGTTTATTTATTTCTCTTCTATAAACAACAGTCTGGGGGGCGTCATTCACAGGCGCCTCTAGAAATGCAATGTTGTTTTTTTTTTTTTTCCCCTTCTACTCTCCATCGACTTTTCCCTGAGAGCGGACACAGACGTATTTGGCTATTCACTATTTATGTTTTCTGCCTAGAAATACAAATATCCGCCTCGAGTCACGGGCAGAAAGTAAAAGCAGCAGCTCTGCATCAGGAGGCCAAAGCGCATGCGCAAAGGCGCAAAGACGCAAAAGGAAAAAAAGTCAAATTTTAACTAAAAGTAGAATGTGTGTGTGAATGTGAGGGGCTTCACTAAAAATAGCCTAAGAGTCCAGCAGCTTTTGCTCTAACAATGTGATCCCACTTCGTGCGCGTACGGAGTTAAACTTTCAAAGTCTTTCCAGTGTTTCTTTTGCACCGAGCGAAGCTTCCTGAGCGCAGCGGGGAGATTCAGTTTTGATGTCGCCGGAAATTCGGTGGATATGATGCTCTTTACCTTTTATTGTTGTGAAGCAGAGGTTGATTTTATCTCCACATCCTTTTAGGGCTTGCGTTTTGATAAGGGCCTTTGAAATCGGAGCTGCTGCTGCGTGGTTTACGCATTCAGATCTTTTACGAGCCTCTGCTGACCACCATGCACTTGTTTCACCGCTGTCTGGACGTAACGTGACCAGACATTGCGCACGGCCTTACCTAATAACTATGCACGTTCTGAATACTTCTACTCATTTAGTACATCCTTGTATTTGAGCTCAATGTTGTCCATTTAAACAGCCGCAATAAGACCTCAGACTTGTTGTAGCACAATAGAGGTGGGCTGGACAGTTATGATGACCTTAACACATAAAATAACTCAAATTATAATTAAAACTATAGAAAACGTAAAAGTAGCCGTTGTTACATGTTGGCACAATGTTATGTCTATGTTATTACAGTATGTTCTTTTTAGTTATTTCTTATGAGCGATTTAGGCATCCAAAGGGTGCTTTTCTCACTATACATCTCAACAATGTTGTGATATTTATGTTCTTCATGTGGGTTGGGAATAATAATAATAATAATAATAATAATAATAATAATAATAATAATAATAATAATGCATTCTTCTTGCTGTTCTTCTTTTTGTTTTTATTATTATTAGTTTGTGTTGCCTCGATTGGACCCCCATAGCTAATTAAGCCCACTTTCCACTATTAATTAGCTGAGCTCTCCAGGGTGGAGGATCTCGGCCCGGGACAGTAAACTGAAACTGCACTGTGTGTGGTATCGCAGGCGGCTGATGGAAAAAGCCTGTTTCCACTCATGTCAAAGCCATTTATCCAGAACAGCCCTTTACAAGCATGTACACACAGCGAAAGACCCCCTCCAACGCCCGCCCTCCCCCCTCCCCCCTCAATCCATGCGTACTCTCTGAAGAGGATGCTCGAGCAAAACCGCCCTTAACTCAAATTCCGGATTACGTTCTGTTCTCATGAACCTCTTCACAGTTTATGCCTATCTATCCGGGACACTCTGAGCTCCTGATGAGAAACAGGAGGAGACCAATCGCAGCTCTCAGCCTCCTCCATCCAGCACCATCTTCAGCTCCAGCGCTGTGGCGTGTGGCGCTGTTGACTGAAACGTCCAACCTGGGGCTTTTGACAAATGGCCTTATTGCGTGTATGAGGGCGGTATGTATGTGGAGGTGGGGCAGGAGGGGCAGTAGGGGTAAGACTCTGCACAAACTCTCTGCTGGACTGATGGCTGGACGTGGGCCAGTCTTGGAAAAAAAGGGGGGCTGGGTCTACGCAGTCCATGGCGATTTCTTGGAGGGATTTAGTGAGGATCTAGATGGGAGGAAGGGAGGAGGGGAGGGGGGCAAGAGAGAGATTTACGAACTGATAGGTGGTCGCGTTTTGTTTGGCCGCGCGGCTGCGCGCAGAAGAGGGTCCCGCAGCAGTGAGTTTCCTCCTCTCTTTAAGGACTTGCTTAGTCCTCGCCATGGCCACCAAGACAGCAAGGACGAGTGGCAGTCTAGGGGACACGTAGTTGGAGCTACAGCGGATCCAAACTGGGCGCATAAATTCACCCGTTACGCACCGTTTTCTGCGCATTGACCTCGCTAGCAACAACACACAGCTTTAAGAGACATTTTGGACATACGAGGTGCGTCCAGATTTTGGCTTAAATCAGCATTTTTTGCGTTTTAACGCAACTATTAAAAACTGCTTTGAAGATACTTTTGGAGATACGACCGAGAATAATTGGATTCGTAAAGAAAGAATCCCAACTTCAGAGCGATTGGAAATCAGGTCATTTCCTTCTATTTTTGAGGTTCTCTGTTTGTTTGTCTACATACTGGATCACGCAGCGATGACCACCGAGACGTCCCAGCAACAGCTGGATCCACCGCCTCCTCTCCGCTCGAGTCCCGTGTCAACCGGATCGCTTCACTCGGCGCTCCAGAGCTCGACGGCGGCAGGGACGACGGCCGGCGCCAAAGCCAAAAAGTCCAACTCGGGCATGAGGCGTCCGGAGAAGCCGCCGTACTCCTACATCGCCCTGATCGTGATGGCCATCCAGAGCTCGCCCACCAAAAGGCTCACGCTCAGCGAGATCTACCAGTTCCTGCAGGCGAGGTTTCCCTTCTTCAGGGGCTCCTACCAAGGCTGGAAGAACTCGGTGCGCCACAACCTGTCCTTGAACGAGTGCTTCATCAAGCTACCCAAAGGCTTGGGCAGACCGGGCAAGGGCCACTACTGGACCATCGACCCGGGCAGCGAGTTCATGTTCGAGGAGGGCTCGTTCCGCCGCAGACCGCGCGGCTTCCGCAGGAAGTGCCAGGCCCTGAAGCCGGCCATGTACCGCGTGATGAACGGCATCGGTTTCGGTGCCCCAGTGCTGCCCCAGAACTTCGACTTCCAGTCGCCGCCCGCCTGCCACGCCAACGGCTACGGCCTGGACGCCATGGCCAACGGCTATGGCTTGGACGCGATGGCCACCGGAGCGCCGCACCACGTGTCTCACGTGTCGCCCGGCCCGGGATCCGCATACATGACGGCATGCCAGGTGACTCCAGGAGGAGAGTACGGCCCAGCGGACAGCAGCAGCAGCCCACTGCATTCCTCCACGACCGTGGCAGGGGCTCTGGAGTGCCCCTCCGCGCACTGGGCTTCGACCGGCGTGGCCCCCTACATCAAACAGCAGCAGCTGGCCTCCAGTAGCAGCAGCAGCCCGACCTCCTCCGCGCTGCACTCCGGCATGTCCACCTATTCACTGGAGCAGAGCTATCTGCACCACAGCGGCAGGGACTCGACCGATATAGCAGGTAATTCGCCACTATCTATAGCTTAAAAATAACTGCTTTACATGCAGATTTCATTATTGATCTTTTGTGGATTATAGTTTTGGAAGCTTCCATAGTCCATTATAGGTCCCGATATAGATTGTAATATTTTGGTGCGTATTTGCAGTATCTATTGCAATAACCCGCAAAATAAATAAATAAATAAATAAAATAATAATAAATAAAGAAATAAATAAAGCGTCCCAAGCGTCACGGCAAATGTTACATTTTCACCTAATGCATTTTTTTTAATACAACGTAGTTTTGATGTTCACAAATTAACATTTATAAATGTTGTCTGGTTGCACTGAATTCTAATAACAATAATAACTATTCTCACAAATAACGATCGCCTAGACAATTGTATGTTGCCCCCCCAACATTTACACATTAGAAAGACCAAAATAAAAAGAATGGTGACTAGTCACGAGGGGGGAAATGGTCACCAATTTTTGGACAAAGCCATCTCCAGAAAGCACATCTGCATCGGTCAGAACAGACGTTTTTGCCCCCAGATTAAAAACATTTCTTGCTAGACTTGACACAAATGTAAACAATCGTCTATATTTTACCGTGTTCTCTTCAGATGGCAAAGCCACGCCAGCCTATTTAATTTAACAGACTGTCGCTCGGTTTAGATCACAAATGAAAGGCCACATTGTTCATAACCTCCAAGACAGGCTAATTACAAAAGAGCTAACTTGGCGAATGTTTTCATTTAAGACCACCATGCACTTCTCTAACATGTAGCAACACAAGATACATCTCAGAACCACTCTACATTTAACTCGCGTTATGTTTCTAATGCTAATCTTGGAAAACAACAGGCCCAGGCCACAGAGAGCCGCAGGCTTGTGAAAATGTCTCGAGATGAAAATATACACAGCTGCAATTCCGAGGATTTTTTCCAATCCATATAAAAGCGTTTCAGACAGTACAACATTTATCTGCATTGATTTTAAAACCACGCAACTACAGCATATACAACAACTAACCTAATATTTGTACTAATGTAAACAAAGTTGTATGTATGCAGTGATAATATTCCTGAAACACCATTAAATAGGAAAAACTCTGAAGAACTCTATGGGAGTTTTTGAGAACAGCGTTCCTCTCATCGTTTCTTAACCCCAACCTTCAGGGTTAAGAAAACACCGTTGTCTTTGCCAGCAGATTGGGGATGAAAACCTAACACCAGGGAAGGCTGAAGAGGATTTTGGGGAGGCTCCCGGAGGCTTAGTGTCCTGTTAAACTTAATGTGAGGGCCGTTTTTAACTATTTAGACACGCAGGCGGTCGTCTGGGCCTTCTTCTGAGGTCTTAATGCCAAATAAGAACTGCCAATCACCTGGAATGGTTGTTTTTGTCGAATGCGAGGTCTTGTAATGCCCTACCATGCAGCGTGAAAACTAAACACACCGAGCACTGAACCATCACATCTGGTGCAGGTCTCCTACATGGGCCAACATGGCCTCTGTGGATCATTTGTGTGGAAAGCCCACCAGAGCAAAGGCAAAGTGAAAGTGAGGTGGAACTTAGAGATCTACTCTAAAGAGTTCAGAAGCTTAAGCACGTGTTAAATTCATATTAGACCTTGGATTAAGATATAATATGAAAATGAAGTGGGTAAATTGAAGATGAATTAGACGTGTTAAGTGTCTAATATTCTGGTGAATATACTCGATACAAACTGCGGTAATAAACTGCGCGTCTGCTGTTAATTAAGAGGCTATATTCTGGTAACCTGATTGGTGAACAGATTTACATATATGCTAATCGACTGCTGGGTACGTCTTAATAATTGGTCAACACACCTAACTGGAATATCATTTCAAAAAAACAAATATACTTTTAAAAATAAAGGCTCCTATGGTTCTAGATTAAACAATAAACTGGTAAAGCCTTTCTCTAAAAGGCCCTTTTATTTATAAAGACGACTATACTATTAAATCTATTGAAGGGTTCTTTCGGAACCCACACGTGGTTCTTCCATGTTATCGCTCCCATAGACCCCAATTGGCCATTTTATTGTTAAGCCTGCTGAGATCTCAGGTTTATTCCATTTGCCAATGAATAAGAAAATATTCGAATTCTTAACTGTGATTCTGCCTTGGCTTGCAGTGGGAATACCTCGCTATCAGACGCATTCTTCTCCAGTCTGCGACAGAAAAGACTTTGTGTTGAACTTTAATGGCATCGCTTCTTTTCATCCGACCGCCGGCGGCTCCTACTACCACCATCATCATCATCAGCTTCATCACCAGGGCGTCTGTCAGGACGTGAAGCCGTGTGTGATGTAGGACGGGGAGGGAAAGCCAGAAATCGGCCACAGAAAGTGGACTGAGTGTTGGAGCAGGTCTGGTTTGCATTTCTTGGCCTTTTGAAGCCTCCGTTTGAGGGACATGTCGAAGATGCCTCCATTTCCAACAGACTGAGGACACTCGTCTCAGAGTATAAGTTATACAAAGTGATGGAGTAGGCAAAACATGGGCCTGTGTTTTGGATTTTAATACTTTATAGCAATGCACTCTTTCTGGACGGTTCTGTGGTTTCTACGCATAGACAAATTACCACTTGGGAGCAACGCTTAGATATAATGGAGGCGGGAGGGGTAGTTTAGAGCACATCAACAACCCACTTTTGATCAGCTCATTTATATTACGTTCACTCTAGAAAAAAATAAATAAATAACAAACTTTTGATGACCTGGTTGCCTCAACAGCAGAACAGCTACTGTAAATTTACAGATCTTAATGTTATCTGAGTCAAACTGGGCAGTTTAATTCGACTTGATAAAAGAGGGGAAGCTTGCGATTAACAAAAAATCCGATTTTTTACAGTGATATGAAATGATCACACGTCTCATTTCTGGTATGAAAAAGGTTTTATCAATAAGAGTGAAGCTGAGAAAGTGAAATAAGGGACGTTAAAAGAGTAAAACGGATGGATATAAAGCTCCCATACTGCATATAAAAAATACCCAAAAGAAAATCAGAAATTCAGAAAAATAATCAGAAATTCAGCAGGTCTTTAGTTGGGCAATGCAACCATACGTTCACCACAAAAAACAAAGGAGCTTATTTGCATGCAGTCCACCAAACTGAGATTAGTGTCTCCTATGATTGCTCTCTCACTTCTGAAATGATGCTTCTTGGAAAACAGTTATTAGCAATCTTTTTTTTTTCCTTTTCCATTGATAACCATTAGCCACAGCAGCCGTCCTTTCCACTCTTTCTACAGGGTATGACTGTGTATGTTGTTTATTTTCTTTCATTTCCAAATGTAAGACAGAAAAAATGCATAAGGCAATTGTAACAGATAATTACTGACTGCACTTATTTTATTCCAACAGCGCAGCGAAGTCATGCAGGTGTTTCCCGTTCACACCGCTGATTCTCCCGCGCGGTTGAAAAAAATGCATTTATGTACAGTTCAATAAAGTCTATATATTCTCAAAGGAAATGCATGCACGCGCTTTTATTTTTTGGATATTTCTCAGTTGGGATAATTTGGGTTCTATTTGGGGATGAGTAGCAGTGGATCCCTTCAGTCTTAACAAATAAAATGCTAACATGTTGAAAATTGGATATGAATGAGCGGATTACAGGTACAACAAAAAGAGGCTTAATTTATCACATTTTCTCGCCGTCCGTCAATTTTACTTAGATAAAGTAGTTGAAAACAACTGATTTATTAATAAAACACCTTTAAATGCCGTATTTACCAATTTACTATCATTGGCTCTGTTATGAGGTCAATGGAGGCGGATGTATTCTGAAGTGTTTACAAACAACGCAATAAAGAAGCAAAACGAACAGATTTTAAGACTAGATGTTGGCTCGCCAGCGTCCATGGATGTTTTTTGCTGAATCTGATGCTCTTTCAGTGTTTTATACTGTTAGCTGAATTTTGCTTTAAACCCGCTCTAACAGGCTATTCACGCGCGTGCATATTACAAGAACATTTAGCAGAAATGGCAAAGCACGCTTTCATGATAGCAATACATAACAACAACAACAACAACAACAACAACAACAACAACAACAAAACAGCAATGATAATAATAATAATAATAATAATAATAATAATACCATAATTTAGCCTATTTGGGAACCAAGCTGTTGAAAACAGATAATCAGATATATCCCAGCTACCCTACACTGAAACTGTACGACATCATTATTACATACTTAATATGTCTAAATCATTCTTATCTGCAATACAGATAATAAACAGTCTTTTTTAAGCTATAATGTATATTGCAGTATTATATTTATACGTACAAATATTCACCAGGCAACTGCATATTATTATTTTGGATCGGCCAGCTTAACAATCAATCAACTAAATGACTAAATAAATAAATAAACATTTCATTTTAGACAAATTGAGGTACTAAGCATGTTGTTAAGCTACACTTTCAGAAAAAAAACTAAACTAAACTGTCACTGAGGTGGTCTCCCTTTTGTCACAGGTACATTTTTCATTCGTCAAGGTGCAAACAACATGAATGTTCCCTCAAAGGTACAACAGTGGGTTTAAGGTCTAATTGTGAACCTTGAATAATGTTTTTCCAGGTGAAAACTATATATATATATATATATATATATATATATATATATATATATATATATATATTGCATTATATATTAAAGTTGTATTAACACCACCCGCTCTGTCTCCTTTTCAGCCTGAATGAAAAGGTATAAATACGCAACTTTGCCCCGAAAAAAAAAATAAAACAAAATAAAAATTATAATAAGGTACACAGGTGTTGTACGTTCAGGGTACATTCACATTGTTTCTACCTTGATGAATGAGGAACGTACCTGCACAGCACCTTTTTTCCTGACAGTGCGCGCTGATGCCATGTCAGTTATTAAAAAAGACATTTCAGTTTTGAAACGTTCTCAATGAGGAGTCTTCAGGGAGTCATCGTTAAAATGATCCATAAACAGACCTTAATATCGTTAATTCCGGCGACATATTTAATTAGTATTCGCGTGAGATTTATATTAGCAATCTAGCATTGTTTCCCCAAACGAGGCGAAGAATGGGATTTGTTCATAGACAGTGTGATCGGAGCTCTACTGAGCTGAGCCTGTGAACTGTAGGACTGACTACCTTAAACTCTTACACGGGGCGATGTCTCCATCTACCGCAAAAACACTGTTAAAATCACTCTTCACTGGTCTTCATATAACGGCACGCAGCCACACTCTGAGGCTGATTGGTCAAGCTTAAGAATTTAGCCAAGAAGAGGAAGTAGTTTTAGCATTTTTCACGTAAATGAAAATGTAGCACAATACACTTCAAATACTGCAAACAGAAAGAAAATACTGCAGAATAAATTTGATCAGATCACAAAGGACTTTCTATTTTGCTGTTTAATCAAAAGCCAAATCAATTATTATTATTATTATTATTATTATTATTATTATTACTACTACTACTACTACTACTTCTACTACATCTCTTAAAAAAAAGAAAAGTCTGAAAATACAAATGCAGAATTTGGGCTCTCTTGGAAAAATAACCTTTTGTTTATTGGAAAAAAAATGCGAACCTGTCCTCTACAGAGAACACACTCCTGCACGTTTTAGTACACAATTACTGTTGATTTAAATTTAATCAAATTGTTTAAAACTATTTCTCTCAGCAGTAGGTGTATTTATTTATTTATTTATTTATTTATTTATTTATTTATTTATTTCGGTAGAAACATAAGTTGGTCTTTTTAACTGATTAATAAGAACCAAGTTTAGACCAGATTTGTCTTAGATGCCCTACATCATATCTGTTTAATTTCATTGCCAGCGCTCACTGATGACTGGTCACTGATTAAACTTAACGTATCTTTGATTAGCCAACTTAGGTGCTGGATGATAACTACAATTACTGGCCTTCCACAAAGAGAGGCTTGGAAATGGTTAAGTGAAAACAGTCAGTCATACATATAATCACTACTTATTAATATTTCAATTTATTCCAAATTAAATAATGAAATAAACGCTTTCTGCTCAGATTAATGCCTAAAACATTGCACAATATATCCAGTTTCCTGGATCTACTAGTACCTAGTACATAAATAAGCCTACATCATATTGCTGTATTCAGGCATTTACCAGCTAATCATTAAGTCAGGATGTAATGCGTTTAATCTACTAATCAACTATAGTGAATACCAAATGTGTGATTTTTTTTCTGAGCTTATGGACTTTTCTGCTCATCCCCTTCACCTTGGAGAGAACAAGGCTTTCAATCTCCACTCACATCACCTTCCAGCACAAAAATGTGAAAAGGATCTACTCCAAAGCTCTTTATCCTCTCTCCTGCTCAGTCTGACTCGTCAGAGCTGTCTACATCCAGCTCCAACTGAACAGTCTGGGATACTTCAGAAAATGACCTATTTTTAAGTCGGCTGCGGTCATCATCTTAGCCCTGTGTATAAAATCTACATGAATTACACATTTTTTCCAAAAACAAAGGTTACTTCAGTGCAACCCATACAAAAACGGTTACGTTCTCATCATAGATAAGTGACAAAGGAACATTACTTCCTATAGCTGCCGCTAAAAGAGCCCCCTGGTTTCTTAGCATATCTAAGAATAAGTAAAGGCTTTTATCAGGTAAATCACTGTTTGTAACAAAACTTTAAATGAATAATATTTCATTTTTTAAAACAATAACAGTATTATTATTATTATTATTATTATTATTATTATTATTATTATTATTATTATTAAATAATGAAATCAAATTGTTTTAGGACTGGATTAGCCTGATTCAAACTGGCCTACCAAAAATCGACAGGAGCTCACATACTGCCATCTACTGGTAGAAAGTGTTTTTACAAGCATGAGACAGCTAGAGGCCAGTTTCTAAAACAAATATTCAGGGGAGTAGCACCGAATCTTGGGCCATGGGGACAGTAGTGTGCCCAGCTCCCCCCTTCCCTCCACAAGAAAATAAGGAAGGAAATAATAAAAAGGAAAAATAAAAGGAAAAAAAAGTATTTATTTGTTTATTATGGTGTATTTCTTTACTTGGTTGGTTGGTTGGTATTATTTAAGGGGTAAACAGCTAACAATACAGTAAGTGTGCTTTAAATCAATTTTAATTTAATACATTTAATTTGTAATTTAATACATTACAAGTTACTATAATTTCATAAATGTAATACATATTTTTGATAAAATAAAGATAAAGATGTGGGTTTGGTCTTCCATATACTTTAATTCTCAACTTTTTCATTTTTGGAAATGAATAAAAATCAGCACCAGGAGATTGAGAGAGTGTGTGAATGAATTCAGAGGCTCTTCAGCAAGACCTTGGGCTTGTTTGAGATGAACTGCGCCTCGTCTCGGCCATTGGTTAGAGTAGCCCATTTCAGTTGGAGGGCAAGTCGAGAAGAGAACTATGAAGCTATCTGAAATGTTAAAAAGAACTAAATTAGAAATGTGCCTCTTACAATAAACACAAACATGACAGAAGAGGCAGCACTGGGTATTCCACAAAGCAGGATCTCTGATTTAGCCAGATCAGCTCAAAGTTGAGGACTGTCCAATTAGAGTGTCTCTTAGGTCATTTCTTACTGGACAGGCCTGACTTTAGGCTTAAGATGTCTGGTGAAACTAAGAATCCTGCTTCATGAAATGCACCCCAGGAATGATAATGAGACAAGAGAGTTTTTAAAGGAATGCTGCCTTTCAGAGCTTTTCAGCTCTTACTGAAAAGACTACAGCTGAAAAAGACTACTGCTTAAAAAAAGACTACAGCCTGTCTGAACAGGAAGTGCTCAGACAGCTGAAAGTGGCAGAGAAATGTGACTTCATGGGTGATGGTTCTGATAGAAAAACAACAACAACAACAACAACAACAACAACAACAACAACACTACTACTACTACTACTACTACTACTACTACTACTACTACTATGCACACACACACACACACATACATTTTCTAAACCGCTTATCCTTCTG